CGGCGAGTTCTTGGCTTGCGCAATCCACTAGTGACAGCTAGTTGGGTAGCAACCCCAGCCCCAGTCGGAAAGGGCACCCTTCTTGTCACCTCACTCCCTGCTCTGCCATTTGCGCATTCAGCGCGCGGATGACAGCATCATCCTGCAAACATGAAACGCGCACAAGCAAAACGAGTGGTGCAGAACGATCTTGTCGCCGCGTTTGCGCTCCTACCCAAATGACAGACTCAACTGGCACTGGCCCGAATGGCTTGCTGACTTTTTCAGCGGTAACAGTAAGAGCGTGCGCATCAGATACAGCAGCGGACAGTCCAAATTAACACCGAACTACAGCACAAGAATACCCACAGTTAAACCACTCGGACATTTCCCACTTCCAACAAAGAGGTGTAGTCTATAGAATGTGTCGCACACCATTGGCGTTGCAAGGAAATCATTTCGACACGTGGTGGCAAAGAAATCCCCGAGCGCCCGCAGCGTTGCCTCTGTGTAGAGCCCTGTCTCGAGCAATTCCTTCTTTTGCTGTCGCAACCACTCCAGGCTGAACCTTGGTGAGGCAAGGCCATGGGTTGTGCCCAACCAGGTGAACATAGATCATCATAAATCTATCAAATGAAGCACTCCGGTTTTGCTGCCACGCGCTTCGCAGTACTTTGAGACACCGCGCCAATCTTGCGGCCAGTACTCGCTGAATGGAGGTAATAGCATAATCGCATCTGGATTGGTCATGCAGTGGAAGACACCTCCGCGGAAACGGGACACTCCACGGATGCTGCCGAGAAACTGCTCCATTGAAGGCGACTCCACAGCCTCTGTCGCTGGCACGGCTCCCGCGCGCGGCGGCCGTTCGCGGGGCGCCGCGTCCGCTGGAGGGGGTATCGCTTCCTGGTCCATGAGCCTCCTGCGGAACTCCGACATTTCAAAAAATGCTACAGCTGCTGAACATAGATTTCGTCACCTCGTCATCTCGCGGCCCAAGCGCAGAAAACGTTGACACATTTGAACACATTGCCACGTATCTCTTCCTGGAACTACATCAAAAGTCAGAGATAGGTCAACAGAGGGAGTCAAGAAGGAGCCAACGTAATAATAATAATAATAAACTATAAAAAAAAAGTTCAATCTTTGAACAAGGCCAAACAAGGCCAGGACAACAAGCCAATCGCAACTCTTAGCCTTGTGCTAAAATCCAGAGGTCTAGTCTCGTATCAACCCCTGAAGGCCATAAGAGTCTAGAGTCGAAAGGCGCATCTCTATCCGCCCGAATGTTTCTATACAAAACACACGGATTCAATCCGCAATTAATCCCTCTCCCCATTAAAAAACAAAACACGTCCGCAACTCCTCTCCGCTTAAAAAAGTCTAGTGTATCCGACCGGATGTTTCTACAAAACTCCCGGATTCAATATCCATAACCTCCCCCCCCTCTCCCCGACAAAAAAAAAACCATACCCCCTCCCCCCTCTCCCCTTAAAAAACAAATCCGTCCTGCACAGCTCCTCCACCTTCTGTCGGAAGTGGTCCCTGGACTTTTCCAGCGCCTCACAGCGCAGCTGCTCCTCGCACAGCCGCAGCCGAGTCCTCTGGAGCTCCTGACGCCCGGAGTGTCCAAGGACCAACCGGGAAGACGTGGGGGAAGACGCGCTAGGTCCGCCAGTAGAGAGGTTAGAATAAGTTGGTACCCGTTCTTTTGTTTTAGAAGATTATCTAGGCATTCCTGAAACATCCTCTCACTCAGCAACTGACAAACAAAACGGCCAGACCCTTTCTCTTGAAACATGCTGTTCGCCGTTTGCCAAGTGTCGGCCAAAAAGGATGCTGCTGAAAATGGAAACCCCAGCGGCCCACCTTTTTGGTAAAAGCAACTCATGATTGGAGCAAATGTTCTGTACATCTTCTTTCCAGGAGGACGCTAAGAGCTTTGAACAATTTTCCACATTGATCATTGAGTTCTATTGTTCAACAGCTAGTGCGCTTGTATACCATCAACACCCCTAAAAAATGACAAATAGGATCCAGCAGGGATGTTGAGCTGTTGCAGTTTGTTGCTTTTCGTCGATCACATCATGGAACATCCCAGTTCAAAATAGATCTGGTTCAGTCGCATGGTGGCTCGGCTATATAAATCAAAGAAAACATGATTCAGGCGAAATGGAGGGGGAGCGGCTTCAGGGGCTAGTTGGCTAGTTCACCACGTTTCGGCCAAGTTTGTGGTACACAAGCTGCGAAAACATGCTTCTGCGATCCTTTGGGGAAGAAAACGGCACTTGAAATTGGTACGCATGTGATTGCCAAATGTGTTTCTGCGAAAAGCCCGACTGGTTTACAAAGTTAGTTGTGATACCTCCGACTCGCCTGCCCATGAAGCTACCGCAACTACCCCGAGCAAAGTGCTCCAGCTGTGGCGGCGTAGTGTCGTGACCAGGCTCGAAAAGCATCTTGCTCCTGTACACAACGTACATATCGGTATGTGTGTGTGTGCGCGTCCTCACTCGGCGCAAAAAGGTGTAATGCCATCGCGCCCGGCGCAGAACAGCTTACCTACTCGCTTGCAAACACGCTCTGTGATTTGCGCGACTGGAGATAAACAACTCCCGCGATCTGCACAGTCCAAGACTGGTATTCAACCCACCCTAGTTGCACAATCAATGATAATGCGGGAAAACGCATGCTTTTGTCAGTGTAGGTGGCTTTCTACTAGGCCCAACCGAGAAACATGGCATGTGATTTCACAGAACAACTAGTGAGGACTAGGAACTTTATGGGATTGGTGGACCCCTGACAATTCCAAAACGCCACAAGCTGGGCTTGTGTCAAAACCCTCCAAACGGCTGGCCTCATCTTGGTTTCCTTCGAAAGTCGTCCACAAAAAGCTCCCTTGACGTCCCCAGTTTTGTCACATGAGCAGGGCCCACACCAATGGGTAGAAAGGTTTCTGTAGCGCCACCTGGGATAAAACACGCGAATGACTGGGTTAACCCCCACTTTTTCTCGGGGGTCCACCTGGAGTCTCGTTCTGACACGAATCAAACATGTAGGGCTTACGGCTACCATTGTTTGATTCGGGTTACAAGAAGAGTCCAGGTCTGAGCTGCCGACTTCTATACTGGGCTTTTGCGCTGCTCACATCTCTACATCTCTGCACTCCTCCGCTACTGCGGTCTCTCTGCTGGCTGAAGCAGAGGCCGGCATCGCCAGCTGGGCGTTGAGCCGCTGCTTCGTCTCGGAGACTTCTGCCTGCAGCGTCCAATGGGTCCGTGTCGCGTCTGTCAGCGTTAATGGGAGGATCATGTTGCACTGCGGCAGACAACTCATACAGAAGGACAGTTTCAAAATGAAGTCAAGTGACAGTCAACGTCTAAACTCCAGAAAATGGCAAGCACATGTTAAAATGCTTCTGACAACCGCCTATCCCAAACAATTTGATGGAATTGAACATACATATCCGTACGGAGTGATAACTGAACCGCGATTTTGGCACAGCAAGCGGTTCGTGTTGGAGCTTGTGCACGCAAACCGTCATATGGCAACTGATCAAAATCCTCCTTCCGGAAAACGCCGTCTTCGCGAGAAGAAAACACGGCGGAAATATTTCGCAACTCCATCGCCGCAGCCTTTTGTTTGCAGCATGTGCTCTGGAGTCTGGAGCCATTGCTGCTGCTGCTGCTGCAGCATGTCGTTACATGGAAGCAACCAGTAGCAGTCGCCCTTGTCACTTGCGCTTGCCAGATTTGCTCCATCCTGGGCCCAATTTGCGGAACTCTGCAACAAGCTCCATGGGTATCTTCGCGAAACTTGCTCCAAAATCGCTTGTCTAACTCCGTGGTTTCGCACTATTCCCGGCATAGGCAGAGAATCAGGAGCTGCGCATCTTCCTGTCTACAAGGGAGTGGGGCCTGCAGATAAAGTATGCCTCCAAAAAGCTTTAGCAACATATTTCGGAAACAGACACATATTTCGCAGACTCCTTCGCTGATCTTTCGCGGCAGAACCACCGGCAGTGGTTCTCCACATTAATTAGAAGCCCTTATAAGGTTTTGCTCAACTCGCATTTGTGTCGTTTGATGGCAGCACAGGCCTTTTCGTGCCTCACGCTGTCCGTGCGAAGTCTTGCCTGTTGAGTGCTTTGCCGGTCACTTGCGGTAAGCTGTTTACTCAAAGCCTTTGCACGGACCAGGTCAAAAAAACAAAGAAAACCCGCAGTGGTTGCATCTGTGTTGAACTAAACGTCAAAATAGAGGGCCATAATAGGGGTTCCCAAGAAACCCGCAATAAATAAATACTTTCAAAATTTGTGCTTCTTCCACACACATGACATTGGTCAAACGGGTAGATCCCTTTGTGCGCTCTGCCAGCCCTTTGTGTTGCAACCATTCTGAGCGGCCCTGGTGTCTACACATTCATTCTCGATGAGAAACAACAACCAATCACGAGGTGGCAATCTATGAACTTTCTTTTTACTCAAAATGCTATTCCTACACTGTAATAGTATAGGGTTGGCTTAAGGCTGTTGAAGGTTGGCCTGTAGGCTAGGAGAACTTGCTTGCTTGCATACTTGCTTGCTCGTTTGCTTGCTTGCCTACCCGCTTGGCTGCTTCGGCCGGGGAAAGAACCCGAACCGCAAAGCCCTTTGGTCCATCGGTCCTCCAGCGCGCTGAGCTTGGCGTCCAAGCGCTGCTGCTGCGCCTCCTCGAAGTCCAGGGCCCTCAGCTCGCCGCGAGTGGGAAGTGCGACTTCGGTACGGACTTGGCTAAGTGCGACTCATGATCTCTGCAAAGGGCGTTGATACCTTAAGGGTAACTATGTGCTGAGTTCGGGGAACCCTTCGGTTTTGGCTTCCTTTGCCCCGCCCTCCCCCCGCTTTCCTGGTAATGAGAGCTGGACACCCCTCATCCTCCCAACTCGCGGACTAAGCCGAGGTGCTGCTTTGCCTCCGCTTTCGAACGCCGCAGCTCCTCCTGACGGTGGGAGGTGGAATCTTCCCTTTGCCGCCTATGGGTTCCAAATATTGGCGTGTCTTTTAGAGGCCCCCTCCCCAAAATGGCTTCGGCGTTCCTTTCTGCATCCGTCAAAAACCATCCAAAAACTCAAACAAACACACCTAAATGGGTTCTAGTATGCTACACGCACACACGATGGTGCTTTGGTGCAAGCTGGAGCCAGTTGATCAGAATCCATTTAGGGTCTGACTTGTCTTTGAGCTGCTTGTTCTCAATAGGAAGTACGGAACCCCCAAAATATGTTCCCTACATAAGTCAACTGGTCCACTTCTGGCGGGTATGGGATAAGTGGAGTCGTCCCTTTTTGCCCGAATCTGGTGTCTTTCATGCCCGGAACACCCACGGTGTGGTCATAAGGCCAGGCTTGGTGCTTACGATAGCCATTTACAAAGAGCAACTGAAAATTTGCCTCTGGACAAACAAAAAGTTGCTTAATGTTGGGGAATGATGGGGAATGTGCGAATACCCCCACCAATTCGTTGCAGAAGCTCGGTTTTGGCCGGCATGGAGCACTTGCCATATTATTTCAATCCCGAAAAGGATCACGTTTATGATAATGTCCGCTGTCTTGAGAACAGCAACCCGCAAATGCACGGGCACATTTACTAGTATTTGATTGTCAGTGTGTAGGAATGCCAACAGCATGCAAATGTCGTACACAACTATGCCAAGCCTCACAGAGGTTCCAAATGTCAGAGGAATCAAGCAGGTGTCTTGGCAAGGGCACATGGGCTGGTTCCACACTTGCCGCAAGAACACAAGCTCTAATCTCTTCCCCCTATTAATAATATTATAAAGGTCTCCCTACCTAATAATAAACTTACTTTGTTTTTTAAAGGGGTGGGGGAGGGGGGGGTTGTTATTAGGGGGAAGAGGTTATCAAGCTCTAACCCGTGTCATCAAAGCACAACAAGCTTGACATGAAAGAAAAGCCACATATTTCAGTCACCACTCCTCTACCGCACTTAGAAGTTGGGGGTCGGAGCCCGCGGTAAAAACACAGCCGCGATTGATTCTCGCTTGGCCTGAACACAGCTTTTTGTATGCGGGGGTGCCGGGGTGGTGCGGAAAAAAAAAACATGCTACTAGATACCTATGTTCAGGGAGGCTTGCACACATTTGCTATGCGCAAAGCATAGCAAACTAATTTGTGGAGCCAGGAGTGTCACTATGTCCATATTCGCAAGTGACGCATAGAAAGTTTGAGGTTGGCGCCGGGCCCGCATGGGCCTGTCACAGAGGGTGCACAACTTCTCGACGGAACTTGGGATGAGCTGAAGTCGCATATACCCAAGACACTCCAATCGAAAACAAAATCACCAAATTGCTGAACTCCAACCTGTGGGGAGATGTTTCGTACTCATACCAACAGAGACAAACATCTGCTGATGTTTAGCAGAGCATGCCTCTTCAAACCAGTCGTGCATGACTGACACGGACGTCATCTTGCTCGTGAATTCGGCTCACTAGACTAAGCACGAGCACCTGATTCAGCATCATGCGCCACCAGCCCAAGGTGGCAGCAACCCAACTTGAGCAGCTTGCAGTTGGGCGAGGTCGTCGGCACGGTGGATGAGATGTGACAGGTTCCAAGCAAATGTTCGAGCGTAGAGAAAGCCTGAGATTTTGGTCCTGAAAACAACAACTCTCCCCCATCCCCCCCATCCCCCCATCCCCCCATCCCCCCATCCCCCCATCCCCCCATCCCCCCCTCCCCCCATCCCCCCATCCCCCCAATCCCCCCATCCCCCCCCATCCCCCCCCATCCCCCCATCCCCCCATCCCGCATCTCCCCCCAGCCCCGGTGCCCAACGCGCCCAACACGCCCAACGCGCGCCTCACAATTCTGAATGGCCCAGTCGGCGCGGCGCTTCTGCTCGTCGTTGGCGCTTTGGGCGCTCACCAGCGCGGCCTTCACCGTGGCCTGCCGCGAATTCGAAATCGAATGGGAGTGCTGGCACTCGGTACGGAATGTGGGCATGAACCCAGGGAGTCCCGAATAAAGGAAACCACCAGTTGGATGCTTTAGGGTCATTCCAATTCTCACTCCCTGCCTATCGCACCAAGGCGAATAAGGTTCGGTTCGTTGGGCCATCCTGATGGTTCCAGGCATGAAGTTTGAGGCGCTGGCCGTCAGCTTGAAGTTTTAGGCCTCGTTTCAGAACTTTGGACTCCAAAGGCGCAGGGATGGACACCTTCACAGGGAACCATCGATGTCCGTCGAAGCAAACCACACAGCACACGTGGCCGCTGCCAAGTCCTTCCAGAGTGGTTACAGTATGCTGGAAACCTGCAGGGCACCAGCTCTAGACGCGAACCTTCAGGAAACTGCATGCCAGCAGAGAACTTGCGTGCAGCGAGGTTCGGAAGCCCCAGATCGAGTCTCAATATCCAAGGCTCATGGTTGGGGGAGAAAAGGTCACATATCGCCAAGGAATACACACTTCCCATTAAAGGCAACAGCCACCTCACCGCGCAAACGCGGGCTGTCACGCTCCTCGCGCTGCTGCATCTCCAAAAGCTTCTTCTTGGCTTTCCTCAGCGAAGAGACGAGCGGTAAGCCTTCTGCACCACGAGTGAGGCTGAAGAAGTTTGCTCGATTTGTGGACCACACATATTGAATCTCTCCTTCCGGATCAACTCAAGTGATGCTGCCCTGATGGTCGCTGTGAATAGGCCACTTACTTGACAATTCAAAGGTGATGGCCCCTCTGCGCTTTAAACAACGGAAGGCAAATCAGAGTCGAAAAAGAAGGATCCGGCGCGCTTGATGCTTGGCAAAATCTGGGACAAGCCTTGGTAGCCCAGCGGCTCAGAAACATCCTACTGGAAACAGGTGGCAACATGGAGCACTTGTCAAGTGCGGACAAAAAACACGCAAAAGGAAAAACAAAAAACAAGTTCACCTCTGGGCAGCCTGCCCTCCCACGCATTGCACAGCGGTGGGAAAAAACGTTTTGAATGGCTGTGAAACGGCCAGTCAACTTGGGTTTCTGACAACACATACTTGATCCTATACGACCCAACCAAACAAACGCAATCCAAGCACATTGGTCATGAAACTACAATACTTGATCTTGCCCAAACACAGTAAACAGTTGGATTTTTGCGAAGATCATCTTTCCCAATTGGGCCCTTGATTTCTGCACCATTTTTGGGGGTTCCACGTTTAAACAGGTACGCCATTTTGGGTTTCCCAATGGTTGCTCTATTTAGGTATGTGCAAATCGGAGAGCCCCCCAAAAAATGCGGCTTCCCATTTAGCTTCACTTTTAACCAACCTGAAAAGATCAACCTCCCTTGCCATTTATTTGGAGTGTCTGAAACCAGGGGACCCCCAAACTTGGTTTCCCATTTGTTTTCTTTAAGAATATATTACAAAGGGAAACCTCAAAAAATACACATCATGGCCCACGTTAGGGGCAAACACAAAACATACTTGCTTGTTCCTCTTCCTGTTCTAGTCTAGCCCAAATATAAAGAACACAACAAGTTTCGGAAGAGACACACCACCGTTGTGGCTGAAAAACCTTTGGTTGCCGAAGTCCACTGGTTAAAACAACAAGTAGCGACATACACATTCATACGCGTACATATATATATATATATTTATTGATTTATTTATAGTGCCTTTGATCAATATTCTGAAGCAACAGGGATCGAGACCATGAGTTGGCGAAGCGTCTGCTCCAGCTCCCGTAGGTCTTGCTGCCGCTGCCTGAAGCTTTGTGCCCTCTGCAGCTCCCGTTGCCGGTAGTCCTCACTTTTTTCGTCGGAGCCAGGCCTCCCTCGGGGAACCAATGGACGTCTGCTTTTGTAGCTACGCATTTTAGCTCGGGAAAAAGGGGAACCTCCATTTTCGGGGGGTTGACAGGTACGGATCCAACAAGAAGGAACGGCGTTTGGTCCAAGAATGGGAAACGGAGCGCTATGGCACCACACCACCATGAACTATGTCGCCGTTGAGCGGCCACCATTGTGAGTGGAACCCAAAAAGAAATTCCAGCAAAATGTGCGAATCCGCGCTTGAAAACTGCCATGGACTTTGTCACCATCGACCCTTGCGGCAACGATGAAGTTCGGCCATTTGTTCTTGGCGATTAGCACTGCGTGGCAGAGTGGCAGGTTTTGCATGACTGTCATCCCCGTTGATGGTCCCAGGTGGTGCCAAGCTCGACTAAAGGGGTCATCATCCAAGCTATCATTTTGAAGGAAGGCGATCAGCTGAGGAAGGGTTGCCCTTTTCAACTAACTAGCTACCTAGCAATGCCACATTTACAGGCAAACCGAAGGCAATCAATTGAGGAAGGGTTGCCCTTTTCAACTAACTAGCTAACTAGCAATGCCACACCTACAGGCAAACCTTCCTTGATGGCATAGATCGAGTGTTGCCCACATTGTCCTTGTTGTTTATGGTTGACATCACACAAATTCGCAGAACTGCTCGTGAACAAATGAGGGTCGGTGCCTTGAAAAGGCGCCGTTCCATGTTTGTAGGACCCTAGGTTCCATGAGTCATTCAAATCTTTGCATATATGACTCATATGACTTTGTATATGCCCGGGAATAGAGCCCTGTTCTGTTGGTCCCAGTTAGTGGCAACATCGAACACTCATGACTCATCGTAGTTCAAACTTACGTCAGCTCGCAGCTATGGTTGATGGGGAACGCCCTGCGTCAGCTTCAGGCATAAGCCGTATTGCGGCTTCTAAAGTCTGTTGCGCACGCCTTGCTAAAACTCCTGAGATCTCCAGCTCGCGCACACAAGAAAGTGCACTCTCTTGGAAATGTGGGGTCTGTGCTGGGGGGCGCAGAACTGTTTTGCACAGCCCCCCTCTTGTCATTTGTCCTCCTCCAAGCGCTCTCGAAGCTCGCGCTCACGCTCAAGAAGCCGGGCGCGAGCACGCTCCTCCTGGAAGCATGGTCGAGCTCAGGGAGGTGGGGGTCTTGGTTCTGGGAAGTAATGTTGTCCTATTTGCACACTAATAGTTTGATGACCC